GTTTGTTTGTATTTGTATTTATATTTACATTTATTTTTTATTTTTTTATGTTTCCTTTTCTTGGTTTTTTGAGCAATGAACACCCAAGTTGGAAGAGCTTAAAGAAGTTTAAAAAAAAAAATTTTTTGATTGCATCTAGATTAGGTTTAATAGAAATATATATATATATAGTTTTGTATTTTTTATATTTAAGTCTCGTTTGGGAACAAACTATTTTAGTAAATTTTTGATATTTTAAGAAAAGATGTACAGAAAAATAGAGAGTGATGAGACAACTTATAGTGACTTTTTGGTTAAAATGTATAGTTGACAAACGAGTTCTTAATATATATATATTCAAAATATTTTTTTTTCTAAAGATCAAAAATACAAAAAATTAATTTTAAAAAACTAAACTGAACAAAATAATCACTAGGATTTGAGTATTTAACAATTACTTATCCACAAGAAAAATAATGATGTAACCCAAAGGGGTTTGGCTTAATGGGATGAGAGGCAATCAAAAGGTTTACCATCTAAGAGATGACAAGGTCAAATTCATAAAGGCCAGATATCCCAAGCCTTGAAGCAATTGTAGGTTTGTTCAATTGTTAACTTGGTGTTTAGTTATAATTTATTTTTTAGTATTTTTTTTAGTTATAAAACTCTTATAAAATTGATTTATGACTTTTGTGAGCTAACTTATTGCATTTGTGGTCATAAATTGCACCTAGTACACCCATTTTAAAACTCTTTTGGCATTATCCTACATCTATTATTATTTTCAATAAGCTTCTCTTGTAAAGTAAAATAGTCATATTCAATGTAGAAAATTCATATATGCAGTAGAGTTTTAGAGATATGGTAAATATATAATAATTATTTATTTATTAATAGTCATATTCAATGTAGAAAATTCATATATGCAGTAGAGTTTTAGAGATATGGTAAATATATAATAATTATTTATTTATTTTTGTGATGGTATAGGACATGACTTGACTTCTGAACTATAGTCTATTGTTTCTAATTTAATCTACGTTACATGTGCACTTTAATATTAAAATTATCATGTCTCTAAAAAGAAAGAGACAAAATTAGAGTCACGGAGGTAAGACTTTAATGGAGATCTTGTCTTGAACAAAAAATGAACATTATTTTGTTTGGTTATATGGTGCTTTTATGGCCCTGTTTGGTAGGGTTTATTTCTAATTTATTTTAGTTTTTAACTTAATTTAAGCTATTTTGATGTGTTTGGTTCAGCTTAACAATACAACTTATAGCTTTTTGTAAGTCAAAAATCAATTTATTCTTTGAGTGGGGGAGAAGAAGCTTAATTTATAAGTAAAAAATCAGCTTATATTCACAGTTACAAACTATAAATTTTTAAGTTATAAGTTATAATCACTTTTCTACAACTTTACCAAATGAGGCATATGTCTTGTATAGTAGCTCATATGATTAGGGAATCTTTGAATTTTAGGAAACTCTTATCCCAAACCAAATAAATCAAACATAGTACACTTTAATAGTAGCCGTTTCTGTGGATGATATTTGCTTAAGATCTTGAATTTGTGAATGAGAATTGTAGAGGAAAAAAAAAAACAAAAACACTTTTTCAAACTCTTTGAGATAATTTTATATAGATAGTCATACATAATGAAAACAAAAGATCCAATTAGATGGAATTCAATGATTTAGAAGGAAGAAAAAGAGCTTGTTTTGCACAGATTATTATAAATAAAAAATTAATAATTAGAAAATAGAAGTTAAAAATATCCTCTCAACTTCTAGATGATTATATATATATTTTTTCCAACTTATTTAAGTTATTTAATAAGTAAGAAACATTGTACCAAATAGTTTGCTTAGACTGCAACACACAGAGAGGAGGAGAAACAGACACATTAATAAATATTTATTTTAAAATTTAAAAATAAACAAGGGTTTAGGAGGATTTTAAATTTATATATATATATATATATATGATTTTTTACTTTTAATGATATAAAGCAATAGAGCGAGCTTGCCTCCAATCCCATTTTTTAACTAGAGGGCGCAGCTTAGTGAATGTGGGCTTACTTTGGTATTGTCTGGGTGATCGGATTTTTCAAATTATTAAACTCGTTGTGAAAATTATTAATGGAAAAAATCAAATCGATCAATTATCAAAAACTATATCATTAAAGCACATTTCTCTTTAATAATTGGGTGACTAAATATGATTTTAAAATTAAATAGTCAATTTTTTATACAAGTATAAATTATTCATGTAGGTACTGATATTGATTCGTCTTGAATTTTTGTATCCGTAACCTATTCAATGAGTTTTACAAGTTAAGTGATTTGAATCACTAAAATAAATTCAAAATGAGCTCACATTCATAAAAACTAGATCCTCTCGTCAAAAAATGAGACTAGAGGCAAGCCAAGTTCTGAACGTATAAATTGAAACAAGAAAAAAATATATGAATATATGCACTTGCACTAGGTCATTGTCTAAACATTTATATAAACCAATTAAAAACTGAATTTATAAAATACTGTAAATTTTAATTTTACAAGATCTGAATTTTATATTAGGATAATAAAATATTAAAAGGTGAAAATAGAAACTAACGGAAAGCCTGTTAGGATTCGTTTGGAATGTAGGTTGGTTTTTTGACTTTTTAATTATTTTAGCCTGGGGCTAAAAAACCTTGTTTGAGATGGACTTTTTGACTTTTTTAACTTTTATGAGAGAAAGAACGAAATGATTATGAGTTGAATGTGATATTTTGTCTTATTAGACTAAAAAGTTTATTTTATTTTTTTGTGATTATTTTAGTCAAAAAAAATCTCAAATCTAACTTCCCAAACGATGCCTTAGTGGTAAGAACAAAAACATTTACCAAACCACCAAACAATTGCAAGCATTCCAAATGGAACCTAACTGATATTAAAAAAAAAAAAAAACAGAATACAATAAATATTAATTTTACAAGATCTGAATTTTTTTTTTATTTTCTCTTTTAAATAGAGATGATCAGACTCCAGCTGTGGCACCCTTAATTATTCTAGGGTATATCACAAATACATTTTATTATATTTGTTTAGAATACAAATTGTCTGCTGTAATTATGAAAATTATAAATACGTCATTATCAGAATTTTTTATTTAAAAAAAATGACAGAAATATAAAACTCCCAACTACTCAATTATATAATAATAAAATTACCAAAATTATTAATTGAAATATATTTATAATATTATTAAAAATTATTAATTGACTTAATAATTTTTTAATAAAATATGTAATTTGTTATTTCATTAAAATTTGAAAGAGTAAGATATAATTTTTAAAATTATAAAGAACAATTTATATTTTAATCAAATCTTATGAGGTCCATATTTATAATTTACCCATTATTCTATTCTATGGCACTTCTCAATCTCTACCTCTACCTCTACGAATAACGTAGAAGATAGAGAACTTAGGAGTTGTTTGGGTGTTCTAAATAAGTGCACTTTTTAATTTTTTGAATAAAAAAATAAAGGAATAAAAGATGGTTATTTGGAATAATTTTTTGACTTTTTTACGAAAAAATATGTATTAAAATATTGTATAAAATGACAAAATTACGTTATTACCCCTCTGTCCTATGCACACTAACAGTGCTGATTGAAGAACAATACGGATTGCTTTCAAAATAGTGATAACTTTAGAACATATATGTATATAGGATGAGGCTTCACGGGTACTGTTGGGCCCGTGGGAGCCCACTACGGATCCTGTTTTGATAATCGGAGCCGTCGAATGCGTAGAACTCATCTAGTACTATATGTTTATAAAAAATCATATTGATCGAATATCGATAGCTATTTGATCGGATTAGTTTTTTGTCAACCATTAATTTGTTCACGGTCTATTTTTTTGATATAAAACTGATTTGATCATGTAGTTATCGATATCCGATCAATGTATTTTTTATAAGCATATAGTATTCGACGAGTTCTATATATTGAACAGTTCAGATTATCATAACGAGACCCATGATGAGCCCCCACAGGCCTAACAGCATTGTCCTGTGTATTTTGATATGAGAAGTGCATCCACTTGATTGTTTGTACCATCAGTGCAGTCTGGAGACAACACCATCACTTCATTACAAAGTTGAACTTGACTAGTATTTTTTAATTTTTTTTGTATAAATTTATTATTTTTATATATATATTTTTTGGGTTGTAAATAATGATAACTTTTAAACTTTTTGTCTTTAATAAACTATGTCAAACCAGCCCTTAAAAGGTGAAATCCATAAAAACTAGGGCGCAATATATATATATATATATATGGAAATAATTAGGAAAATTTGGTCAAAACTCCTCAAAATAAAACTTTAATGTATTAAGGATAAGCACACATTTTTTTTAAAAAAAAATTCCAACACATATTAAGTTTCAGCCAGTGGGGGCTCGCCACCTCACTGGGGGTGCGACCCCACTGGGGTCTGTAGCATAGTTGTTTTAAAATAATATAATTTTTGATGCACATGTCGATTTTTAATAAAATTAGTATTTTTAAAATTCTTTCATCAAAATCTATCAAATAAGATCTATGTTGATTATGAAATTCTTTAAAAAAAAAAAGTTATTACCGTTGAAATTGATATAAATAGTAACAATAATATGTTACTCTGTTTGACAGTAATATGTTACTCTGTCTCACAGTAAAATGTTACTTTATTTGACAGTTATTCTGTTTGATAGTAAGATGTTACTCTGTTATATTTGTTTGACAATATTGTCTAAAAATATATATATATATATATATATATTTTACTTTATCTTTACTCAATTATGTATTTTCTCTTTAAGAGATTTATGAAACAAAATAAATTAAATTGTTCTTTTCACCAAACAAGAATTTAATAAAGGAGTTTCAGCTAAATTTCCCAAAAACTTAATCCAAATATGCACCAAAACGGATGCAATGCATATATGCAGAGAGAGAGAGAGAGAGAGAGAGAGAGAGAGAGACCTGGAAACTCATGAGTGAAGGTATCCCAAATATTGGGGCCTTTCCCACCTTCCTTGGCAGCACCTTCAAACTACAAAACCAAACCATACCCACACAAACACATTGCCATAAAATCTTGTGCATTTTGATAATCAGTATCCGCGATATGGTAATATATAGATCAATACGGTAATATATTGATCAATACAGGCAATATTAATTGATATACTGATGAAAAACGATACCAAAAGTCTAAAATCTCGATAAATAACAGATAATACGAAACGTAACAGCTGATATTTGAAACCCTCGTAATCTCCTACGTTTTGCAGGACAAAAATGAAGACAATGAGGAAGAGCAAGGATACAGTAAGTGTTGTACCTGGTAGGCAGAAGAGGCAGCTCCAAAGACAAAACCATCAGGAAAGCTGGTTCTGTTGAAGGAGGAGATTTGAGCTGCTATGGCAACCTCACTTACAACAAATGCATACGCAACAATTGCTAACACTCCTACTACAACTGACCCTTTCGTTGCCATCATTGCCTAGCTCTACTTGGCTGCTTCTTTTCAAACTTCTCCCGATAACGCCCCTTTAAATAGAATGCACAACATGGATAACCAATGACTTATTTAGGGTTGTTTTGAGAAGATGGTAAAAAGTGATTTTTTTGCTTTTAACTAAATTTTTTGGGAGTGATTTGGGAAGTTAGTAAAAAGTTATTTTTTTTTTTTTTGAGTTAATATTTATTTATGGTGTCACATCACACCAAAATGACTAAAATAACCTCACCAAACTTAAAAAAATTACATTTAACCCAAATCCATAAAATGTTAATATTGAGGGTACTTATGTAATTTCTTAACCTACTTTTTCTACTTGCCAAATGAGCTGAAAAACGCAACTCTGCGTTTTGCTCCAAAACGCCAACCTAGCATTTTCAGCCTTTCCCAAAAGAGCCCTTATTTATTAAGTTTTTTACCTGCGTATCTAATTAAGGCTCATTTTAAGAAGTGAATTAAAAGTCATTTTTTAATTTTTAATCCACTTTTTCCTTACAAAAAAAATTAAAAACAGTTAAAAAGTAACTTTTAATAATCTTTTTAAAACAACCCTAAGTAAGATTAATCTTATATAGAAAGAAAAGGTTAAGTCCACGAAGTCAGAATTCATTTTCATCTTTGTACGAAGAATTGAATTGTGTGGTGCTGATTAAAAGTGGACATTGTAAGGTTCGTGTAAAAAATGAATCTCCACCGCATAATAATGTTTTTAGGTATTTTTTAGATAAACTTTTTAAGTTTGTAGTATTATTAAACAAAAAATTTATAAAAAATGATGTGGTTGAATATCAACCTTTCAGTTTAAGATAAAATACCTATAAGAAAGAGTTTAATTTACAAAACTAATATTACCACATCATTCTTGGGGTGTTTTTGTATAAATTTTAATTTACAAAACTGACCTTCCATGTTGTATGGATTTTTCACATTGCCACGGCACACCTTTTTTGTAAGGATTTTTCTAGTAAGAATAAGGTTTCATTAAGGCCTTGTTTGGTTAGAGGTTGTTTGGCAAAAATAGTTAATAAAATCAAAATTAGTTAAAATAGTCAATAAAATAAAATGTCACATCCAATTTATAATCATTTCACTTTTTATCTTACAACCATCAAATCAACTACAAAAAAAAAAAAAAAATCGACTGTCATCCCAAACACTACTTTTTTAGTAAGGTTAAAATAGTTAAAAAGTCAAATAGCCAACTAAAATAGCCTATTTCCAAATGGGGCCTAAGTAATATGGTAAAAAATAGGGTTAGGCGTATTTTATTCGATCTGCGAGAACCGCCCAAACTGGGAAGGACCATATCGAATCATCTTGGTCACCGGCAATGGCATGTACTAGCTTGAAGACATTGATGGTAAGGAGTTGCCAAGACTCTGGAATACAAACAATTTGGAGTTTTTCTACCATTGGTTTCTATTTTTGGAGTTTATGTAAAGATTTATTACCCGAAGTATTAATAAAATACTAGCTCGATTTTGTTTTTATGAAATATTGTTGAAACTTGTGCGATAGGATTGAACAGTCTTAAGATGATGTTCCCATGGTGAACATGACGAATAATTTAGACTTACCATGATGGTAGAGTTGAATTAAGTTTGCAATATTTCAGCATAAACCATGACGATTAACTTAGATTTGCTATCATGGTAGAGTTAAACTATGCCTACGATGTTTCGACATGAAACAAGGCGAAACTGGCCATGACTTGGTCAGTTTGAAAGGAAAGCCGAGGAGTATGGTACTCTCGGTGCACTAAGGTTATGCCTCAAGTGCTTCGTTTGAGCGAGCCAAATATAATAACCTCGGTCAATAGTTAATGTCTAAGTAAGACTTAGGCGATAACTGGGTGATGTGTCCTTAATATGAACATAAGTGGTACTTATGTTCACATTAGGGGGCAAGCTATATGAATGAGCATAATGAGCATAACACTTGTGAAAAATTTGTAAAAATTTTCCAAGTTGAAGTTATTCGAGGTAATTGAATAAAAGGACACGAGAGGTATGTCTACTCGAAATAACCAACCAGGTTGTTAGACTTGGAAGGGTGAAGTCTTACCAGCATACAGTTAGTACAAGTGAAGAAACAACACTTGTAAAAATTTGATAAGAAAATTTTATAAAAGTGTTGTTCAATCAAGATAAATAACACAAGTTGTTATCCGAGATGATTAGTTTGTTCAATTCCGAGCTGTGGATGTATCCAAGGTATTCTTGTCTGAGGTGAGGAACCAAGTTGCCAAACATGGAAAGAAAGGAAATTCAACGTATGGAAAATATGCAAGGCATAAAAGAAAGGCAGTGAGCATACATGAAAGCAATATTCAACACTTAGAAGAAAAGAGAAGACTTGCATTCATAGATGAAAGTTGATTACAGTAGAAGGCACATCGGCCCAACAAAAGAGAAATTGTTCAAGGGAAATGATTCCAAAAACAACAAAGTTCTAAAAGTTCAAAGAAAAGAAAAAAAATCCTAAGTACGTAGGTCTTCAGCGTTTTCCTCAAGCTATCTTCTCTTCGTAATTGGCATTGTTTCAGCCTCGGCAATCAGTTCAGTAGACTTCTCGGCATCGATCTTGATGTCGATTTCAAAAAGGTCTTGGTCTAGACCGTTCTCGGCATAAAAGGATCTCAGCTTCAAGGGTAGCCTTCTAGAGGAGGTGCCTTTGGAGACCTCATCTTCTTTCTCTCCGATCAAGTCCAGGATTTTATTGTTAAGAGTTGGGGACTTGGCCTCAGCAGCAACATCGGTTACCCCTGTTTCTTCTGCCTCGACGCTTTCATCTTTAGAGTCAGCCTCATCTTCGGCCTCAGATTGGTCAGGCAAGGGAAGAAAGGGCACTTTCAGTTGGCTTATGTTGCGGAGAAGTGAGTCCTCAAGGACGGACAGCTCCTTTAAGGCCGCTATCTAGCCGAGATAATAGCCTTTGTTACAGGCCAAGTTCACTTGTACTTTATACTTATTGCGAACATCAACCTGCCCCTCTACTTAGGCCTTCTCGTCAGCCTTCTTGGCAGCCAAATCGTCTTTGAGCTTGCCCTCGACCTCAGCGACTTTGATCTCAGCAGCCTTAGCATTGGTCTCGGCAGCTTCTGTATTTGACCTCGGCTACCTCAACTTTGACCTTAGCTTTGTTTTGAGCAACCTTGGCAGCTTTTACTTTATCTAACAGGCTCCGATTACTGGCCTCAGCTTTGTTGAGGGAAGAGAGGAGATTTGCAGATTCCTGGCTCTTTTTGGTAAGATCCTTGTTCACCAATTCGGCCTTGACCGCATAAGACTGAGTATGCTAGATGGCCTACAAGAGAAGAGTAAGTTAGTGAAATTCGACAATGTATAAAAGGCATAAATGAATGCAAAATGAAAGTTACAAGTTAAGTGAGTTAGTAAGATAGATTGCCTCGTCATTAAGGCAAAGTTCTTATACTGGTTGAACTCGCCTACTTGTGCCATATCTTTGGACAGAAGGAGACCCGTCGTCAATACGGAGTCAACTTCAATGTCCTTAATGACACTGTCGCTAGCCTTTAGAGGTGGGTCGCCCACCTTGATTTGAGGCATCCAAATGTCTTCTAGTAAGACATCTCTATCGCCATTAGGACCGACGGACCTCAGCTTCTTGAAGGGAGGCTCCTTAGTGAACTCGGCCTCAGCTAGCCTCTTCCCAGAATCAGCAGGCCTCTTCCCAGAATTAGCAGGCCTCTTCTTAGCCTTGGCTAACTGCGATATTGGGATTATGTCATCGACGTCCTTCTCTGAATCAGAAGGGATGGTTGTGACTTTGGTTTTTGCCTTGGATTTCTTTACCCTCTTGGCCTTCTGAACGAATTAGGGAGATGGCGTGGACTGAACTGAAATGACATCGAGCAAGCCGTTCAACAAGTCTTCGACGATTGCAAGCGTGTGTCCCATCTCCTCGGCTGTTGCAATAATGGTAACTCCTAGACCAAGTTAGAAAGTCGAGAGGGTGATAAGTAGATTTGATGGGTCTGACGCCGATATGTTAAGACCTCAGCTTTTTTGGCTGCGGGTTCTACCGGTAGAAGCATTTGGTGGTCGACAACGTCGTTGGCATTGGAACAATGGAATCAGATGGGTTGGAGCAGAGGTAGATGGCTCGTTGGCTGGATCAGATGTTGATGCCTGATATGGCCTTGAGAAAAAAGTGAATGGTTGATTTGATGCTGAAGTTTTGCTCCTTCTGAGGACGTCGGAGAGTAAAGACCGGTATGTTGAAATATAATTCAGCAAAAGTAGGGCCTTTTGTTTGAAAATTGGAAGGTCCAAAAGTCATTTGAAATCTAGGCTGGGGATGTAGGATTGTCGGAATGATTTGCTTGGCTGAAGAAGAACTGCAAAAACTAGAGGAAAATGTCAAAACAGGTATAAGAGATAAGCGCATGAAGTCCAACAAATTGAGACTTTGACTAAATTCTTACCATCATCCTCTCTAAAAACTCCTCGGCATAAAGGGTAGAGATGTAGATCATTGCCTGGCACAAACTCCCAATTGCTCGAGACAATTAGGTAGTCGTCTCCAGCGCCTTTGTTAGAATCAGGTAGGTCGGCAATGAGTTTGTATGCAGTGGATCTAGGTTTGAGGTAGTAATTGTAGCCACTCTTGGATTTGAGGCCACACATGGTACAATAGTACTGAAGGTCAAACAGGGTTATTCTGGCATTTTCTCGGCGTGTCAACTCGGCAACACCATTGATGACCCTAAAGGTATTAATAGCTAATTACATAGGGTTGAGTTTATAGAAGTGAGAGACTTCTCTAAAGAAGATGTCAAGGGAGAATCTGATTCTATCCTCGATTATGGAGACTATTGGAAATGGGTAAAAGGTCTCTCTTGGCATGATCGAGTCCTCCTTCCCAGCCAAACTAAGGTAGACATCGGTTGGGATAGAGAACTCTTGGCGCAAATACTCAAGTTTACTTCGGGTGTCTACTGTCTACTTAAACATCCCCATGATGTCGGCTTGAAGTGTTTGGTGCTAGATTTCAGAGAAAAGTAGTTGGTGTGGGTTTGAAGACCTCGGCTAGACCC